GGGAACTTTGTAAGTGGCGGTTTTGCCCGGGCCTTGGGCGTCGAACGGCAGCGCCTGCCAACCTGGCACGTTACGTTCCCAGCTGGCAACGTCCGTTCCTGCTCTGTGGCTTTTGGGTCGCTTTTTAAAAGCTTTTGGGGGTTTAAATGTTGTTTATGAGCAAGCTGCTCTGTAACTATCTATGAATAGAACCATTAAAAGTTAAATCACTTGCTGACACGGGAGACTTTCCTAATCGCATGTTGCAATATCTTACTTCACTGCAAATAATTACTGTCAGTTCACAGTAAACTGTTTTTTAATGCGTACTGTATGGCTAGGGTCCCTTCCCTAGTGCACACCTAGGGTACCCTTCCCTAGTGTTCTATTTCTGCTCTGGTGTTGAAACAGGAGCAGTTCCTAAAGGAGAAGGTTAAGGTCAACGGGAAAACTGGCAACTTGGGGAACACTGTTCACATTGAACGCCTCAAGAACAAGATCACGGTGACGTCCGAGAAGCAGTTTTCTAAAAGGTCAGCATAAGTTTCCTTCTGTTGGGCTTGCATAGTGGATTTTGTACAGTGGTATGTTCAGCATTGCAGGCTTTTACAGAGAAAGTATTAGCCTTACCAGCACCTGTAAATGTTAATTATAAACATGATGCAGACAGACTTTGTCAATATTAGCAATTAAAACTACTATCTGTTTAAATTGCAGATCCTTCTAATACAGACATAGTAATGGTTAGGTGCTTGATGTATGTTCTCAGAAGTATATTGAGCTAAGATATGCTTTTAGAAAGCCTAACTGCATTTACCTCATGAGCAGTTATTTTATTACCTTAATGTATATATTAAAATGTGTGTACGCAAAATGCATATATGGCAGAGGAATCCCTTAAGTGAAACGAAGCCTTAAGTTGCTTGGTGTGTTAGGAATGCAACAGATCAACATGCTGATTAGAACAGAGGTACAGTTCTTTCTTCTCTTTAGCTTGGTAGTAAGCTATACTTACATGTATTGAGTTAGACCAGGCTTTACTTTCCTGTGCTTTTGTGTTACTAACATTGTGCTGTATAGCCAAATAGTATCAAAATAACAAATTTTGTAAATTTTATTATTAAAAATATATATATTCTTATAACACCAAGAAAGGAAATGTAGATATGTTATCTGTTATATATGCAATAATTTCTGGATAGAAATTTGGGTACTAAATAAAGTTACCCTTTAAAAAAATCAGCATCTAAAATTGCTTATGATGCTGCCAGAACCGTGTTGTGGATGGAAGGCAGATAGTAAGAATCGTTAAGTGACACTGTGACGAAGTTGTAATGAGTAGTGCTGTTTTTCAGGTACCTAAAATACCTCACGAAGAAGTATCTCAAGAAGAACAATCTTCGTGACTGGCTTCGTGTGGTGGCCTCTGACAAGGAGACGTACGAACTACGCTACTTCCAAATCAGCCAGGATGAAGAAGGATCAGAGTCTGAGGAATAAACGAAGCCTAGCTTGGTGCTCAATACAGTGTACAAAAGACTAGAACATCTATTTATGAGAACACTTTAACTTATTGGCTAATAAAGATTTTGTACTCTGTTTGACAGAGCTTGGTTAGTTTACTAGTGTTTTTCTTAAACAACCTTTGAAAGTGGCCTGGGGCATTGATCTGCGGATCTGCTTCCGCTGCTGGAAACTGAAGCTGTTCCACACGTCATTGCTGAAAGTCCAGCAGAAAAGAACAGCCCCTGTGACCATAAAATTGTAGGGCAGATGCTGCATCAACGTGTTCGATTGTGTTTATACAAGTTCTGCTAGAGCATTTTGTGACCAAAAGCACCAGCTACTTTTGTTAACTTACATGAAGCTACTTATATAAAATGGGGTTCTTGCTTTTAACTTTTTGGGTTAAAACAGGCTTAAGTGTTTGAAAGATTAAGATCGTATTTCTGTTCATTTATCTCAAGCAGTAATTCGTTGTACTGTTGTTAGCCTATAATCACAGAGCAGAATGGAGCACATCAAATATAGATATTTTAGCTAGAACTGTTTATAATTCAAATTTATGGAGCTATGAACAAACCTCATTACCAGCATATAAGTAAGTAAAACAATTTAAAAGTTAAAGGAAGCAATAAGATGTGCTTTAGCATTGCCAGTTAAATGAACCATACCAAATCCCTTTCTTTATCTGCAATCAAATCAATGAATCAAATCAATGTATCTTACAGTGGTTCTCATACAGAAATATCTGGGGATATTTCTTTAATCCTAATACTTTTTCCTCAAGCAAGTGGCTGATCCTTCATTTCAAGGCAAGTCACTCCAAAACCTCAAAGCTGGTCGTACAGAATGAGATTTAGTTTTCTACTAGCAGGGAGGTGTTTGTGTCCCTGCAGTTGTAAGCACTGCGTGCATGTCCATTTTGTTGCTACAGGGTGTATAGGTTGGATTTTTAAACACAGCAGTGAATTCACAGATAGTTACAGAGAAAATATAATAATTACAGAGAAAAATCAATGGAAACATGAGGGCTGTGGTACCAAACTTTCTGCTTGAACAACTCTGCTGGCGTTTGCCTAGCAAATTGTTTATCTTCCTGATGAGTTCTTGATTTTTTTTTCATCGTTGTTTTTGCCGGCAAACCCCCTAAGGCCAATTTTTCAGAAAGTTGCCAATGCACAAACCAATGTATTAACAGTTGTGTGTGTCCCACCTGTGCTTCCTAAATCCAAATGCAGAGTGCAGAAGGGGACATAAACATTGTCAGGAGCCCTGAGGGCTCATTTGTCATTTTTCAATTACGCTGGAGCAGCTGTTGGTGCATTTGGCCAAGGGGGATGGGGGGGCTGTGCCTGAGCAGAAGCTGCTCCTGCAATTCCTGTCATGCTGATTTGTTTCATTTTCCTCTTTCAGAACTAGCACAAGGCAGGGAGCAGCGTGTCTAACTGGCTGCAGGACTAAGGATAACTCCTTTACTTAGGTATGTTGAGCTTTGTATACTTCAGTAGAAATAGGGTAAAACACTCCAAATTGTGCCCACACAGTCTGGGGGAAGCCGTGTTCTTTGCTTACTGGAAATCCTAATGATTGCTATTGATTATAATACTGTATTAAAAAAAATGTAAATCTGCAAATATTTGAAAGCTTTTGCCTGTTTTCTTGGCTGCATTTGAGTAAGCAAGGAATGCCATGACTAACTCTGGTATCTCTACATCCCTGCCTGTTTGAATTTCAGAGTTGCACATTTATGTGACAATACATCCTTTAAACCAGGCTGACACAACAAAAAACCTCCTGATTAAACAAGAAAAACAAAATCAAAGCTAATAGGATCATGCTGCCTTGTTTTTCCTTCCTGTTAAAGCACCCTGGCAGTTACACGTGTAGTTACGTAGCATGAGATACAGATTATCATTAGCCAAAAGATACGAAAACAAAGCCTGGGTTTTCAAGCAAAGCCACTCACTGCACAGTTGGGTTTTGAGGAAACCTGCCAAAGTGCTTGTGTAAATTACAGCATTCTCTGCCTAATTGCAGAGGGTGGCATTAAGGAATTCCTTTCCCGGGTGCTTGGGAATATGTTTAGTTTTGCCAAACCAGAAACTGTTTTTTTGATAATTATAAAAAAAGGAGCTCTAGGATGCTTTGTACATCTAGGGTAGGAAGAAGTGCATTTTATGTGTATAGTATAGAAATATAGAGCTTTTAAATTTAAATGGAGTATTTGCAATGTATTTACAGTAGGATTGTTGATTTTTAAAGTCACATGGAAGAAAACAGCTAAGCTACATTAATAGGAGAAAAAAAACTCAAAAATGCTGATTCTCTCCTAGTTTCATGTTTCACAGATGGAGAGGCCAGGCGTAGTATAGGTTGCAAGCCAGGAAGCAGAGTCTATGTCATTGTCCACAGAGGTAATTAAAACAATACTGATTAGAACCAAACCGAGCTTTGGTTCCAAGCAGGCTGATACGAATCCTGGGATTGCCTGGGTTTAGGTGGGATTTCATGTATTATGGGGTGCTTCCCCGGGGACCTCCCAGCACCTGTGGGCGCCTAAGCCCAGCGGCCTCTCCGTGGGGTTTTAAAACAGCTGAAATTACATCTCCCACCCCCAGTCGTTTTTCAGAAAATGATTTTGTTGCAATTTTCCAAAGCAGTTTATGAGACCTCCCACGCATGGAAAATTTCAATGTCTGTCAAAAAAAAACAGAAAAAGAATAATAAGAAAGAAACCAAGGCAAACCAATCATTTATAGGAGAAAGAGCTAAGCAGCTGTTGTCAGAGCAGCGCTACCAGCTCCACATAGACTATTTATGTACAAGCAGACAGAGATTTTTCTGCACCATCAATCTCTATCGGCTCCACTGCGGCAAAACTCTGTCTGACTTCCATTTAAAAAAAAGGAAAAAGCAGGATTTTACCAGTCACTGCTGGTGGATGTTCCTTTTAAGCATCCTCGCATATCCAGATGCTTTCTTTTTGCCTGCCCTCTGGCCTATGATGCCTTTGGAAAGCAACTTTGTCATGCATCCAAAATTGCTAAGCTAGAAATAAAAAGGTAAATAGCAGGAAATACCCAAAAATGAGTTATGATGCTAGGGCATATACTAGAGCCAGCATTGGCAGGTATTACAGGAGGCACAGACTCTACATAGTTGCATAACATCAGCACAAATTAATTAGAAACAGAGAGGACCATGGAAAAATAAATATCCAAGTAATAGCTTTAATGTACCCAACAGCAGGAAATAAGCTTCAATGGAGTGAGTGATCTGATTACACCAAATATAGACAAAAATAGGGGGGAAAAAGTTGTTTCTTTTTAGAGATGAAAAGCAGAATGAAGAATTCTTATCACCCAGATCAGAAAGGCTCACATTCCTCGTCCCGCTAACCCTGCTGCGCTTCCGTATTGGGTTTCCTCCGCTCCAGTTTTCCAGCCCTCTCCCTTTCCGCTGACCAGCCCCGGACCCCTGACCTTGAGCACTCAAATACCAGTGTGAAATGGGCTCAAACCGCAGGGAAACGGCTGGTTTTGCTGCAGGGACAAGCGCAGGGGCAGGGGGCTGCAGTGATTCCCGGGCAGGCGCATCCATAGATCCTCCGTTTAAGGCCCATTGGTGCCTTTTTGCCTCTGGTTCCCTTTGCTCTGGGGACGAATGAGCTCACTAGGCACCAACCTGGCATCAGCTGGGCAGGATTTGCAGTAACTGTCCATCCACCCTGGATTTAAACAAGCAATTAAGAGAGAAATGTTCTACTAGTCTATTAAAAAGCTTAAAGCAAGACTATTTAAAGCTCCCAGCACTAAATCATTAAACATGGTTTAAATCTAAGTTTGGGAATGGCTTTTCTTTTTTTGCCTTTTTTTTTCCCCCCCAAATCAGCCCAGGTCGCTGAGTTCCCTAGAGGGGATGTAACCACCTCCCAGGTGCCTGCCTGGATTGGGACCATGGATGGAAACAGCCCAGGGGAGCTCCAGGACTAAAACCTGCCCTTGAACACAGCAACGCAAGGGAAAAAAATACACTTTGGTTAATGCAGATGGGAAAAAAAAGAAGGAAAAGGGAATAAAATTAAAAGCATTGAAGCAGGTGGGAAGGTACCTCAGGGATGAGGGGAGGCTGAAAAGTGCTAATGAGAAGCAAAGGAAGGAGCCTGCGCATCTCGCCAGGACGTTTTGGGGTGCTCCTGGTACAAAACACGGCCACTTCTTCACTCTCAGTGTCACCGGGCAGCAAGCTCAAGGAAACCTGGAAGGGCCCCGAAATTCCTGATGCTGACTTAAAAATGATAGTGTTAAATAATGCATTATTTTCAGCTCCTCTGTGTTTGGAGGAGTTACTAATTCCCACCTCTTCTGGCCCCCTTATTTCTGCAGATGCCGCTGGGCCGGCCGCGCAAAGCCCAGAGCAGCTCTGCGAGCCCAGCAGAAGGTGGAGCCAAACCGAGCGGTTGTTGTACAGCCCCGAGCGGTTGTTGCACAGCCCTGAGCGGCTGTTGCACAGCCCCGAGCTCTGCACAGCAAGGACAGACAGACAGGCCAATATTCAGGGCCATGTGTGCTATCCTGAGCTTTGCTAAGCCACAAGAGCAGCCGTGACACCTCATTCCCCTTTAAAACTAAGGGCATATCTGTGTCAAAGCGCCCTGGGCACAAGGCCTCCAGAAACGACGTAGGGACCAGCACTTAACTGCTGAAAAACTGGAGTTAATCCCATCAAAGCGACACACTTGCAACACGGGCAGCTGAAAAACTGGAGTTAATCCCATCAAAGCGACGCACTTGCAACACGGACAGGAGCCCGGGTGCGACGGCCCTGCTGAGCGCTGCCGCGCTCGTGTCCTGCATCAGAGCCACCCAATGCACAGGGTGGGCTGGGGAAGTGCAGCCTGGCACGGGCTCAGCAAAGCAGAAATGAAGCCACCAAGAGCAGAGGTGTCGCTGGAAAGGAGATGTCATCCCTGGCGAGGGCAGGCTGGGCAGGGGGCCTCTGCACAGGGCAAGGGCAGTTACGGCTGGTTTGGGTCTTCTCGGCCAGTGATTGAATCAGTGGTTGAAAATAAACAGGACGCGATGGGCCTAAGTGGAAATGGCTCTC